TCGACTTCCTGTGGTACCGGAAGAACGTCAACGGCGCCGGGGAGGACTCGTACGGCTTCGACAGCGTCGACCAGTGGGGCCGCCCGTTCCCCGACCCCGAGAGGTTCCCGTCGTCCGCCGGCGGCGAGGGGTTTAGGCACGTCGCCGATAAGGTCCACGCCATGGGCCTCAAGTTCGGCATCCACCTCATGAACGGGATCAGCACCCAGGCCGTCAACGCCAGCACCCCCATCCTCGACGTCGACACGGTACTCCCTACTCTCCGTGGATCTTGGACTTCTTGTTTCATCTTCAAATTTTCACTTACTTCTACAATTAGACCATAAGAAAGTATATTCCTAGTGAGCGCATATTTGAGGAGAGTTACCGTGACAGTAGATAGTTGCCGTAGGGGAGTTACTTCGTTCGATTAGTAATTTTCTTCTGGTTTCGTTTATTCAGGGAAAAGCCTACGTAGAGGATGGCCGGCAATGGACGGCGAGCGACATAGGCCTCACACACAGGACCTGCGCGTGGATGTCAAACGGGTTCATGAGCGTAAACACCGACGCGGGAGCCGGACGAGCGTTCCTCAGGTCTCTTTACCAGCAGTACGCCGATTGGGGTGTCGATTTCGGTAAGCTGCCAACTCCGGGCCCAAACTTCATACTAGCATTTTTCAGCTGCTACATTATTTTTAATTTCAGAAGCAACTGTCGGTAACATAAAACTGTTGTGTTTGCAGTGAAGGTAGATTGCATCTTCGGCACGGATTATAGCCCGAAGGAGATCATGGCTGTTTCAGAGGTACGCATGCAGATGTAGCCCTCCATTCTGGGATCACAAATTGGTGATGACCTGTTGAAATCAGTTCATTTGAATACATACATTGTTGTGTGCAGACCCTGAAAGAGCTTGAGCGGCCGGTCATCCTGTCCATCTCGCCCGGAACCGAAGTCACTCCGGCGTTAGCCGAGAACATCACCCAGCATGTTGACATGTTCAGAATAACAGGGGACGACTGGGACAGCTGGAAAGATGTTCGCCCGCATTTCGATGTCGCCAGGTAACCAGATAGCATCAGATAAATTTTAGGGGTGTATAGTAGCTGCTACTTGTAATCTCTAGTAGAGATCAGTCAGTTTATTCTACCTTCTTTTTCACCTGCATGTATATGATGATATATACAGATCGTTTGCCGATGCAAATAAGATCGGCGCCACCGGATTGCAAGGAAGGTCTTGGCCTGACCTAGACATGCTTCCGTTCGGCAGGCTTACTGATGCAGGTGATCATTCATACCATATAAAACTTTGTGGCACCCCTTTTTTGGCAATGCACATCTGTTCTAATTCCATGCGCATTGGTGACTAATCATTGGAAAACGCTTGATATTTCTCTCATACAGGTGTTAACCAGGGCCCTCACAGAAGCACTAACCTTACATTTGACGAGCAATTAACACAGGTTTGCATTGCACTTGGAGAAACTTCATGTCTGTTTTCCAAGTTGCAACCCAAAGTCTTACCGCATTTTTGCAAACTGGCATGACCTTGCAGATGCTACTTTGGTCCATGGCCAAATCCCCCCTCATGTTTGGAGGTGACCTGAGGCACCTCAATGATGGTACATTCAATCTAATCACCCACCCTACTCTACTGAAGATTAATCACCACACTAAGAACAACATGGAGGTAAACAATATATTAATTGAAGTCTGGAGATTCCTGCTGCAACATATAGTGAACAGGGAGTTAACTTGTGGAATTTTTTTTCAGTTTGGTTATATTCAGAGTGAAAGGACTTCAGAATCCGATGAACAGTCTGGTCGCTCGGACCTGACAAACAATGGTGCACCTGTTCTTGGTCTCGCTACCTGCAACGATAAGAGCACCGGTGGATGGCACAGTTCCTCAAAAGATCACATTTGCAGAGGCTTTGGAATCCAGAATGACAATGCCTCGTTTTGCATGTCCAAAGCAAAACTTCTTCCAACATCGTAAGTGCCTTGCAAGAAAACAATTCGTGAAAGGAAGCAGTACTAGTTTTCTCATTTGTACGTATGATCCATACATATTATGTGCTTCAGGGATGGAGTTACCATCAGCAGCGAGGAAGACCAAGCGAAGTTCCACCTGGTGGGTATTGACACCAATGATGGTTGCTTGGATGCATCTGTCAGTCCCATGTTCTCGACCTGCGAACAGCATTCAAAGCAGGTAACCTAGTAAGAGAGCGGGATCCATATAGTGAGGCTGAATTCCAATGTTTCTTGGAGCATTTTTTGTCATGAAGTTGCTTGAGTCTCTTAGCTTTGGAAGTGAATGTATGCCGCGATTGATCATATTTTGCCCATAACAACTGCAGGTCTGGGAGCTAACGGAGAATGGACAACTTAAAAGCAGCTACTCAGGATTGTGTGCTACATTGAAGTCCAGCAAGGAAGGAGGTATAAGTTACTCCATAACGAGTCACCACAAATTAATCGCTACTTTTATCTAAGTAGCACTCTTGTTTGATGCAACAGAGAGTGAAACTACTGGAGCACGAGCATGGACAGCAACTGGAGACAAAGGTACTTTTACCTAAGCAGCATGCATCTTTGCCAATGCATACATGCCGAATAAGCGTCCCTTTTCTTTGCGCTGATTCTTTGTCTTCCATGGAGCAGGAGAGATCTACCTGGCCTTCTTCAACCTTGACACTGCAAGCAGGAAGATTGCTGTGAGGGTGCCGGATCTAGAGAAGGTTGCAGGGAGAAAGTTGGCAAGGAAACACTTGTGCACCTGCACTGAAGTCTGGAGTGGAAAGAGCCGGAGTCTCATGAAAGGGGACATCTCAGCGGTGGTGAGCTCACATGGCTCCATATTGTTTGAAATCCAGTGTTGAGGTCTCCCTAATGTTCGCCAGTTCATCTTGGAACTTGGAAGCATAGGACGATTGGGTGTAAATTCTCTAGTTGCTGTCAGTCCTTTGTAGAACATACTTCTAATAAAGTAAGCATTTTTAATCGATACTAGCAATGTGTATGTGCAGTGCATGTGTTGACAAAAGTAGACCAATGAAAGCATTAAATTACCTAAAGCACCAGGAAATATAAATTCCAAAACCTCAGAATGCCAAATTCTGAGATGTGTAGGATGAGGGTTTCTTCCAAATACTGATCTAGACATCTAGTCATAACAAACTGTTAATAACATGTGACACTGTTCCTCTGAAGCACAGCCAAGACACTAGTAACAAAAGGTATAGCAAGGCCACTGTTGAAACAAAGATGCTACTTCCTCTGTTCACTTTTATAAGACCTTGAAGATATTTCAGACAATGTGCAAAACAGCCCATTTTGAGTTGTCTGAAACGACTTACAAAAGTGAACAGAGTGAGTACAGTAATTTTATAACATAGCTATGAAATTTAGAAGAAAACCCTTGCCGAAGCACATACAGAAGAAGGGTATCTTGAAGTTGAATGGAATGAGATGGCTCCAGTACCCTGCGGTTCAGTTGTTTTTGGTGAATGTACATGAGAAAAATATTCCTAAAATTTTAACCTGACATCTAGGATGGTTCGAATTCAAGCAGCCAATCACATGGATTGCCTTTTCCTAGGATATCACTTTTTTTTGAGGGAAGGCCATTCCTAGGATATCACTTGGTACAAGCAACTGGACACATTCTACTGTGAAGCAGTTCAGAACAGATCACCCTATCAAGAAGCTACTCGCGAAAAGCTTAGCTCTGGCTTGCTTGACGTAGCTATTTCTGAACTGCTTTCAGAACCTGCATCTGGCTTGCTTGCAGAGTTTGAATTGGGTAATATCCTGATTTTTTTCTCGGAAGCGCCAACTGCTTCCAAAGTACTTGACACTGGCTTGCTTGAACTAGCCATTTCCGAATTGTTTGCAGAATCACTACTTGACTCTCTTGCAGAGTTTGAGGTTTGTACCCTCCTGGGTTTATTGGCGGAGGTACCAAATGCTTCCAGAGCATCAAGGAAGAACTTTTTATTCGGAACAATACCCTGCTTATTCATTCGCTGGAGCAGCTTCTGGACAAGCATCTTATCGTTTGCCCTGGTGTAGGCCTTGTAAAGCAGCTTATATGTGGAAGCACTGGGCACTACACCTTTCTCAATCGCACTATCCAACAGCCGATCTGCTTCCATAGGCAAGCGGTTCATGCAGTAGGCATCAAGCATGGCATTCAATGAAGATAGGGGAACAGTACTTTGTGAGCTTACGAGCTCATCAAATATCTGCTGGGCCTTTGAGACGCAATCACAATACGCGTACATATTGATGAGACACTCTTGCGTCACATAATTCGGTTTGAATCCCAATTCTCCCATCTTCTCAAGTACAGACTCAGCTTTCTCTCTAAGCCTTGCTTTCCCATAGTTTGTTATCATGGAATTAAACGTCGGGTGGGTAGGTCTCTCCTTGGACCTCAATAAACTCTTGAACACCTGCTCCATCTTGTCGAATGTCTGCTTTCGCCCATACGAATCTATGAGTATGTTGAATGTGATCACATCTGGGCGGCACTGCTTGCTTTTCATCCGCACCAATACAGACTCCATCTCTGTAATCATGCCATTCTTCCCATATCCGTCGATCACTCCATTGTATGTGTAGATATCTGGAGAGACTATGCTTTCATCCAGATCCTTGAAAAGGATGTCCACCTGCTTCGTGTCACTAGCCCGAGCACACGCCCTCAAGAGGATGTTGTACGTCACGATATTCGGCTGGCATCTCTCCATGCCCTTCATCTTGTCAAAATAGCCGAGAGCTTTCACCAAAGCCTTACTCTTGTCCCGCGAATGCAGATGCGCACCGATAAGGGAATTGTACACCGAAGTGTCCGGCTTGCACCCGCTGTTGCGCATCTGAGAGAAGAGCCACATGGCCATCCGTATCTGCCCCTTCCTTCCCATCACAGATATCAGCTTGGAATAGATGCCGTTGTCTGCGACGTACCACCGCTGCTTCTGCATCCACCTGAAAATCTAGCAGAGCACGAAGCATTAGAGAGGATGGGCAGAATTTTCTACAACAAACATCAGTTTCATAAATCATGAAATGTTTAGCCCACAAGGACATCTGAAATCATATCTAGTAGAATTTTATACCTATCCCAATTCATCATATCTAGAATTTTTCAGACCAACATATTTTCAGGGTACGCTATCCAAGTGAGAGTCATGACAATGGCTCTAACTCGTGAAAAATGGATGGTCTAGTGATCCTGATTGAGTTGGGCACAGGGGTACGGTATGGTGGCTCACCTCGAGGCACTGGACCCAGCCGTCGCGGCGGCCGAGCTCCTCGAAGAGGAGGAAGCAGTGCTCGGTGCGGACCACCTTGACGTGGCGGTCCAGCACGGACACCAGCCGGTCCTTGCCGCCGTCGGTCTTGCGCAGGAAGAACCGCACCAGCTCCGCGGCCTCGGCGGCCGGGTCGGCCTCCGCCTCCCCGGCGCCCGCCCGCCGCCGCTTGCCCCTGGCCGGCGCACCCGCGGGTGCGGCCGCCACCGCGACGCGGCGCGGGGAAGCGGCGGCCGGGTGGCGCTGCGGCCACGGCGGGGCCGACGTGCTTGGGTAGGCGAGCATCTGGGCGGTGCGGGAGTTAATGGCAGATGGGTTTCTGGAGTAGCATTGGAGCGCGGGGAATGGCGAGGGCGAGCTCGGAGAATTCGCAGCGGCCGGGAGGGAGAGGTTCTGGGTTCTGGATAGGGAAGGAGGGGATTAGGGGGTTTTGGACGGCTGGGATTGTTTGGTTTGGGGGATGGACGGTGGATTTTGTGTGGGATTAATGGAGGCGTGAATTAATAAAAAAGGAACCGGATTAGGAACGGGGGATATTGAACCCGACGTGAATCGAACACGCAACCTTCTGATCTGGAGTCAGACGCGCTACCATTGCGCCACGGATCCGGTGTGCTGTTACTCACTAATTAAGCTATATCATAGTACGGACCTGCGAATCAGTATTACCCTTGACTCACTGCTTATCCACTAAGTTCTTATTCAAAGAAAATAGAGGTGTTTCCCTCATTACATTTCACTGAAATGCATAAATTATCCACAAAGGCACGACCAGAGTAGCTGATCAGAAAGGATTCTTGCTTATTAGTTATTACCATCCGAATTGAAAAAGGCGACACAAGCACAAAACGCTACAACCCTAGGTGAGAAGCTAGATCGATTTCCATGTTGGAACCAATTTGTGTGGATCAAGGGCAAATGGTGTCGTTATTCGTCAGTTGCATCTAGCGGGAAGATAAATCCCAAGTGATCATTTGGAGTTCCCTCCCGATGATTATTTAGGAGATGTAAACACCGCAAAATTAATGTTGGTTGAGCATCTTCACGTTGAGATATTCCATATGGAGTTCCCTCCTGACGATTATTTAAAAAGTCTATTTCGTAAGGTCTAAACATCAACAAAACTAAAAAGACTGCAGACATCCATTTTCTTCCTTTGCAACCAATCAGACAAGCATGTTGGCATATCCAAAGTATAGATTAGAAAGGATTTATGGGACAATCTTGGCAACAAATTCAATTAAGAGGTATTGCACATTCTACATTTCCTTCCAAAATAAGCAAGTCATATCATCTACTGGTTGTCGTTTAGCAAGATTATAACGGGTTAGAATTTTTGTTGGAGGGAATCAATCTATCACTAACATGAGAGATCTGGCAGTCATAGCTTTAGTAAGAAAAGTATGTAAAGCATAATTGCTAAAGCTAATAGGCATGATTTTCTTCATCTCTTTCATATCATTTTTCTTTTGGAACAAGAGAAACAATTGCAAAGTTCAACATAAAGACATTCAAAGTGCCATTTTCAAGTCGTTGACAAGGGCCATAAATTCATTTTTATAAGGTTACAAGAATTTTGATAAAAAGGAAGGAATACCCATAAGTGTATGGGGCCCCATGGGTAAGATCTTACGGTGCCTCATTGATTTCCACTTGAGGGAAAGGTTTCTGGAGAGTGGCATTTTCAGCACCAGTGACCATATCATCAGGGTTCCCAAAGCCAACACCAAGTTGAACATTCAGGTTTGGTTCATAACCAAAAATGTTGTTATAAAAAGAGGTAGCTACCTCAAGCATCGCGACCGTGGAGTAGATATGACCATCACCCCTTATTTAAATTTCCTATCCCTAGATTTCTGCCATGTGAAGCGTTTCTTCCTTTCTCCAAGTAGATTCTAGTTTAGATTTAATGTTTCATTCCCTTTTTGAAAGGATCGATAAGGTTGACTAGAGGGGGGTGAATAGGCAACTACCAATTTTTAACTTTTCTTTATCAAACTAAACTTTGCATCAAAGTAGGTTGTCTAGATGTGCAACTAGGTGAGCAACCTATATGATGCAATAACAACAAGCATACAAGCAAGCAAGAGAAGTAACACTAAAGAGCTTGCACAAGTAAAGGTAAGAGATAACCAAGAGTGGATCCGGTGAAGACGAGGATGTGTTACCGAAGTTCCTTCCTTTTGAGGGGAAGTACGTCTCTGTTAGAGCGGTGTGGAGGCACAATGCTCCCCAATAAGCCACTAGGGCCACCGTGTTCTCCTCATGCCCTCACACAATGCGAGATGCCGTGATTCCACTATTGGTGCCCTTGAAGGCGGCGACCGAACCTTTACAAATAAGGTTGGGGCAATCTCCACAACTTAATCGGAGGCTCCCAACAAAACCACGAAGCTTCACCACAATGGACTATGGCTCTGTGGTGACCTCAACCGTCTAGGGTGCTCAAACACCCAAGAGTAACAAGATCCGCTAGGGATGAGTGGGGGAATTGAAAATCCCTTGGTGGAAGTGTAGATCGGGGCCTTCTCAACCACTCCCGAGCAAATAAACAAGTTTGATTGGCTAGAGAGATAGATCGGGCGAAATGGAGCTTGGAGCATTTAATGGAGCTTGAGCATTAATGGACCCTGAGGGGGAAGAGGTAGGTCAAAAGGAAGAAGGGGACCCCCTTTTATAGTGGGGGCAACAATCCAACCGTTGCCCCCACCAACCAGCCCCTCACGGGGCGGTACTACCGCTAAGATGGAGCGGTACTACCGCTAGGTCAGCGGTACTGCCGCTCCAGCCAGCGGTACTGCCGCGCAGAGAAGACTAGTAGGGAATAGGACCCAGCGCGGTACTACCGCTCCTGAAACGGTACTACCACCTCTACAATCGCAACTAGTGTTGCAAAACCCGACACGAGAAAAAGAGCCCTCGAGTCGAGGCAGTAGGAGCCAGACAGCCCAGCGGTACTACGGCAGCGGGGTCACGGGCGGTACTACCGCTGCGGAGCGATACTGCCGCTTGTGACTCTTCGGCGATATTACCGCTGGTAGTGCGGTACTACCGCTGGGACACAGAAGAGAGAGGATCTCTCCAAAGAGGCTGAGGACGAGGCAGTGGTGCCAGGCACCCCAGTGGTACTACTGCTGTGGAGTCACGGGCGGTACTACCGCTGCGGAGCGGTACTGCCGCTTGTGGCTCCTCAGCGGTACTACCGCTGGGTTGCGCGGTACTACCGCTGGAACCCAGACAGGACATAGAAAAGAGGAGAGATCTCTTCTATGAAGTGGAAGAACTCAGAGGGTGAGAAGCTGATGTGTACGTGTTGATTCCACCCATGCAATACCCCAGCGGACCCCCTCTTGATAGTACGGTGCCCTCTATGCAACTAGTCCACCGAGAGAGAAACGAAAGAGCTACACCGTCTTGAATGACACTCCGAAGGGAAGAAAACGTCTCGTGTCAGGGTTGAATCTGTGAACTACTCAAAGGACATGATTAGTCTGCAAACATGTTGTCATCAATCACCAAAACTACCTTGAGAGAGATATGCCTCAACAATCTCCCCCTTTTGGTGGATTGATGACAACAAGGGATTTGCACAAGGAAAATATATAAACATAAGAAAAATAAGAACTACAAAATATAGACGGGCTCCCCCAGAATGTGTGCACCTAGAAAGAGGAGCAAAAGGAAAGCAAGACACACACATCCGGATCAACACTCCCCCTATATTTTATAGTCCAACAATTCTAAGCACAAGATATATGAGAGAAGAGTATATAACAGGACAAGCATGCAACTCATAATATACTACAGTACTGAATAGACATAAGAAAAAAGGTAGCGACATAAGTAATAAGGTAGCGATAGGGAGCATATGTCTCACACCATATGTCTAGAACTTAGGTCTCACGGACACCAAACCAAACGAAACAAAGACACCGAGAGAACACACAAGAAAACACAATACGACAAACTCAAAGCATGGCAACACAAATCCCTACACTCTCTCCCCCTTTGGCAGCGAGACACCAAAAAGGGAAAAGAGCGACGCTACGACTCCAGGTGATGGCAAGCTGAGGATCTCGAACATCATATCTCAGCGTGATCGTCTGCATCTCCGTCGTTGGTCGAAAACTGCTCGGCGTCGGAGTCGGTCCAAGGGCAATGCTGATGAATCCACTCCTCCTCTTCAGTGATCTGACCCTCAGATCCACTGGCAACTGTCGCTCCCATCTGACGCATGAGCTCCTTGTGGCGCACCCTGGCATGCTTCTCCGCCACATGAGTCATGTACTGACCATGAGACTCCATGCAGAAAAGCTTCTTCAACTTGTGTTTAAGCTTCTTCGCCCATGAGGGTTCAGCACTAGAGGGCCCAATATCCTCCTCGTGATCATCAGTGGCTGCCCCACCCTCGGTCTCCACGGTAGCAGCAGCAGCAGCAGACGGACCCCCGGATTGAGGTGCTGGGGTGACCCAATTGTCCTTCTTCCTCAGACGCTTGATCTCATGGGAAACCAAGTCCCCAGTTTCCAGCATCACTCTAGGATAGATCTGTGCCTATGCCCTCTCAATGAGCCTCATGATGAATGGACCATATATCGGGCACTTGCGCTCAGACACGGCAGAGAGAAGTTCAGACCACATGACATGAGAAATATCCAGGCTCGCTCCAGTGTTTGCTTCCTTCTCATGCTGACAGAAAAGGAGCATGTCCACACGATAAGAGTGGACCATATCTAGATTCTCGATGCGAGGGAATAGAGTCTCACAGAAGATACGATGGAGAATGTCCAGATACAGAGACAACTCATAGGTTTCTTCTTAGTCACTGGGTTAACTTTCACAGTGCAGTAGGGCCAGAGGGCTTGCTTGTGAGTGGACGTAGCATTGCGGTGAGGGCGGAAACCGACTGGAGTCTCAAGCCCGTGATCCACCACATCAAGTAACTCCATGAAAGCCTTCCACTTGACGGAAAGCAGCTTGCCATTGGTCATCCATGTCAGAGTTCTGTCGACATCCGTCCCAAGATGAACAGTGGCAAAGAATTGAGCCACCAAATCTGCATCAAAATCCTTGTTGAATTGCATGATCCTGAGAATGTTCAGCTGAGTGCACATCTGAAGGGCTTCACCAAAGTACTCCGGGTCCTTCTCCATAGCATCAGTGTCAATGGAGCGAACATCAACAAAGAAATTCTTCTTGGCCTTGATCACATCAAAACAGATGGCAAACTAAAATCGGTTCCAGAACGGGCAGTTGACCAAAGTGGGTTCTTGGTCCATCTCATA